AAGAGCTGACACGTGAAATCACTAGTGAGTGGCCCCCTACATGGGTAATAAAACTTTCCTACTGTTAGGGGGATGTGGGGGAAGCTAGCATGTAAAGAAGATATATATAGCAAGCAGTCTTTTTGGAATTTCTCATTTATGGTAGTTCTCTATTAGGTCCAGCGACACGGAACTAAACATTTTTAACCTTTTTGGTACTGATCATGTTAACCATAAAAAAAAAAATTATCTTAATATTTCTAAAAATGTAATTTCATCTTATAATCTTAACAGGTTTATGTGTGTGTGTGTGTGTATACATATATATATTCTTCTGGTGGAAACTGAATATGCAAATCCAATCTCAGTAATGCTTTCTCAACCCAGGAATAATGGCATACAATTGCCTGTAGACTGGACACCCTCCTCTGGCCTCTTCAAGGACCAGCACATATATATTCATGAATAAAAATAAACCATTAAAAAAAAAATAGCCAGGAACAAGGATGGGTTATTGTGTATGCCTTTAATTGCAAGTGTATCTCTGTCTTCAGGGCCAGCCTGGCCTGCACAGTGAGTTCCAGGACAGACAGGGCTACATAGTAAGATCCTGTCACACACACACAAAAAGCCTGGCATCATGTCACATGACTTTAGCCACAGTACTCAGAAGGCAAGGGCAGGCAGATATCTATGAGTTTGAGACATGTGGGCTACAGAGTTCCAGGACACTCAGGGATATATAGTGAATCCAAGTCTGTCTCAAGTGTTCCAAACATTTCTGTCTTTTAACTTCATATTGTCTTCAACTCTTCACTACCACCTACAATTTAGTATCATTTAAAATATGAAAACTAGTATACAGAGTATAAATTTGCATCTTAGATTATAGCTTAAATTTAAAAGATAACAGCATAAAATTTAATTTTATTAAGATATCTTTTTTAAAGAACTAGACACCAATATTCTTTTTTAGTAATTCACACATAATTCTCTCAAATAAAATCTCACAAGTTCAGATGTGGTGGGCTGGAAAGTAGCTCAGCTGGCATAGTGCTTGTCTAGCATGCACAAACCCAGTACCCATGCATGACAGAGGTACATGCCTCTCATCCCAGCAGGAGGGAGAGGAAGGAAGATGAGGAGTTCAAGGTCATCCTTGGTTGCATTGAATTCAGGGTCAACCTGGGCTACATGATATCCTATTCAAAAAAATAAGTTCAGATACCTGCTGATTAGGCCACATAATCACTAATGCTTTTCTACCAAAAAAGAAATGTATTTCAAAGTTTGGAACCACGTAGAAATGCTATGCAAGTTAATTTTTGCCTTTTGTAGTCTTTCCTATAAGATTCTTTTCTAATAAGCAAAATACAACTACAATGCCTTCACTCAGGTTCTTTATCCTTCCCACTAGTGAGGCAAGAAAAACTCTTTGTGACAATGCGTTTGAGGAGGAGCATCTTGAGTTCCAGGCCATACCAGGCTATACTGTAAGACCCTGTTTGAAAAACAGGGTCATGAGGGGAGGGAAGGACTGGGCAAGCACAATAATGGTGCACACCTATAATCTCAGCACTTGGGAAACAGACAGATACAGGAGGATCAGGAGTGCAAAGCCAGTCTTGGCTGTACTGTAAACAAGTTCCTGGTTCCTAGCTAGCCCAAGATATATCAGAGACCCTGTCTCCAGAAACAGACAAACAAAAAGACATACTAATCAATCTTCTTTGCAAACCGTCTCCTAGCTGGTCCTGGATAGGAGCAAATTTGCAATATACAGCCCAGGAGATACCTTCTTCACATCAGCTATCCGTTCCTTCTTAGAGGCAGGCTTCTCTTTGGCTTCTGGAAGGACTGGCTGGGATTTGGAACCTGCTGATTCACTCTCAGATTCTGATTGACTCTCGGAAGATTCAGAACTGCTATTGGACTCGCTGCCATGTCCGCTGCCGGGATCGCTGCCCTGCTCACTTTCCGACTGACTGCCAGAGTCTGAACCCGAAGCTTCTTCAGAGGCTGAATGACTTCAGTTAACAGAGAGACAGGCAGAGAGAAAACCTTAGAAACATTTAAGAACTTCCACATATTGGTTTTTTTTTTTTTTAAATCCTCTGGTAATATCTTCAAACCATAATTTCAGCAATTTAGCATCCACATCTTCAAATTCACTTTTATTCTTGGGCTGCAAACAATGCTTTCCTATCATTTTCAACCTTTATCTTTGTACTTTTTGACAACATACATATACCAGGTGATTTACACAATTTCACACATTCCGGTGAACATAGGTTCCCCTCATTCTAATGAGGTAAAACTATACATTTCTGAGTATTTAAGGAATTCTAAGACCTCACTGCAACACTATATAATCTGTCTATTGAGTCATATCTGTTTAAGTACTAAAGCCTCCTTCAAAATAAAAAATATTATTTCAAAAATGACATAAACAAACCCACCACCAAAGGAAGAATGCAATCATCCAATCAGTGGTTCTCAGTGACAGGGGGTTAGACTCAGTAGGCAGCTATACACACCATCTGGAGCCACAAACAGGTCCTGACTCCAAAGCCATGACTCCAAGAATAATCCCATCACTGATCTGACAATGGCCTTTGCATATCCCATCCCCTTCCTCATCTGAAACTACACTCAGATAAACACAATCTTGAGGAGGTAAGCGATCAAAGCCCCATAATAGAAACCTTAGAGCCGGGCGTTGGTGGCACACACCTTTAATCCCAGTACTCGGGAGGCAGAGGCAGGTGGATCTCTGTGAGTTCAAGGCCAGCCTGGTCTCCAGAACAAGGGCCAGGATAGGCCCCAAAGCTACACAGAGAAACCCTGTTTCAAAAAAAAAAAAAAAAGAAACCTTATGTTGAGAGGTAGACCACAGTAGCATGTAAGAAGGAAGTTTTCTATTTACCACTGTCTCTTCCAAACTAGAACTGAGGTCACACAACTTAACAAATGGCTATAGAAAAGAACTGGGCTGCAGATGGAACTGGGTTGGTAGTGTGCTTTCAAAGACAACAGGGGCCCTAGGCTTCAGCATATACCAGGTGTGGTGGTGTACACTCAGAAGGCCTAGAAATACAAAGGCAGCCTCTGCTGCATAAAAGTTGGAGGCGAGCCTGGAATACACGAGCTCCTGCCAAAATAAGAAAGAGAAAAAGAAAGGAAATAAGTTACTAGAAACTTGAATTGGTCCAAATCTACAAAAAGCACCTTACAATACAGAGGCCTGTAAGTCAAGACCAAGAAATGGAAAAATTTGTCTCTAAGAAGGAAAAATGGGAAAAATACAAACCTGATCAATCACCTCATAGTGTCAGGCATTATGCTAAATACTTGATATATATTTATTCTCCAGAACATTCTTATGAAAAGACAGACTTTAGAAACAGCTTTCGAGGGCGTTGGTGGTGCATACCTTTAATCTCGGCATGTGGGAGGCAGAGGCAGGCGGATCTCTGTGAGTTCGAGGGCAGCCTGGTCTACAGAGCGAGTGCCAGGACAACCACCAAAACAATACAAAGAAACCCTGTCTAAAAAAACAAACAAAATTAAAAAAAAAAGAAAGAAACTCAGCCTTCTCTCTTTCAAACCTTATCCTATATCTCACTTTCTAGTTGTACATTTTTTATTATATTTTATGTGTATCAGTATTCTGTGGACATGCATGTCTATGTGTGTGCAGTATACACAGAAGCCATCCCCTAGGACTGGAAATACAAACTGTTGTGAGCAGTCATAAGGGTGCTGAGAACCAACTGGATAGTCCTCTGAAAGACCAGCTAACATTCTTAACTGCAGAGCCATCTCTCCAGTCCTCTAGCTGTGTCATTGTTTAACCTGTTCCACCCACCTAAAAAGTCATGAGCACACCCGGCTGTGGTGGCACACACCTTTAATCCTAGCACTTGAAAGGCAGAAACAGGCAGATATCTGTGAGTTCGAGGTGAGCTTGGTCTACAGAGTTCCAAGACAGGAACCAAAGCTACAGAGAAACCCTGTCTCACAAAAAAAAAAAAAAAAAAAAAAAAAAAGGCATGATCATTATATAGCATCTATGAAAGCAGCAATACTTCTCTACAAACACTTCCCTTACCCAGAAAGTTGAAATCTGAGACTGACATCCTGCCTCTGACTCCCTAAGAGAAAGTTCTCCCAGCCAATTATTAGAGTGGGTACCACAAAAGGACCTTAGTTTTAGCCACCACCATTTGCACACAGGTATGTAGAACTAGCTGCAAAATTTCCTTATAGAGATTCAGAAGGAGCATTCTCCCTGAGATGAAAACAAGGAAGAATCTGGAAGCTAGGCGGCTTAGTGCTTGCAAAGGCCTGCCTCTTACAGGGCAGACACCCTGGCCTGAACTTTTTACCCAGCTCAGTATGAGATGGAAAACTAGCCTCTGACATCCCCCCATGCTTATGTCTGTATGATTCCCACCTCTCTCCATAAGATTTACTTTCTTTTTGTATTAGTGTTTGTTTTGTTTCCATGTATGTCTATGTAACATGGCCAGAAGAGGGCAGCAAATGCCCTCGAACAGTTACAGACAGTTAAGCGCTATCATGTAGTTGCAGGGAACTGAAGCCAAGGTTGTCTACAAAACCAGTAAGCCCTCTTAATTGTTGAGCCCTCTCTCCAACACCCTGCTTGTCTTTTCATCACTCCTTCCCTCATTCCCATTTGCTCCATGTAACACTTGTAGAAGCATGGCATAAATCCCAGTACCACTCACCTCCAACCCCAGCAGCAAGCTAAGTAACTGAGAGCTTGGGTATCATCTTCTGTAGGAAAGCATGCTTTGCTCTCTCGTGTGCTAAGCTCAGCCTATTAGACACTTCCAAATGCTGACCTATCACTGCAATCACAACCATGAGAAGTGAAAACTGGCAGCCCTACTTTGTAATCGGCTTCAAATCCCAACCCCTGCTACCTCTCACTTTTCATCACGACTCCAGCCCCTAGGAAACTGAATCCAAAGCACCAGCAGTTGGGTTACGGGTATGGCTCAGTGGTACACTGCTTTCCTATTCTTGCATAAATCTGAGGCTTGGTCCCACAACACGTATCAAAGAATGATTAATATAAGTTTTTGTATAGCCCAGCTATGTACTTGACATATTACCTTGTCTCTCATTTGTCCCATCCTATAAAAATAGTGTGGTCACTTGTCAAAACAGGTTTGAAAATTAAGGCCATCTTCTCAATGTTCCTTGTGCCTGATATATTAGAGATTACTGACTGAGCCAGAATAACAACAGTGTACCTGCCTTTTGAAGTGACTTCATTTTCCAGCAGAACTCCAAACAAGGACTTGTGGGCGGAATCACATGAAAATCAACACAACTAAAATTGTCAGGACAACACAGCAATCAACATACTCACTCTCTGGGAAAAGAAGTATGCCAATGTAACTGAAAAAATGTTAAACTACCTATTTAAACACCCAGGAAAAAAGCCATAAAATATAGCTTTAGTCCACTTCAGAAAACAGTCCAGTTAACTAGAAAAGCTTTTAGTCTTGTGCTAAAAAGCAAGAATCACAGGAGATTTATTTTAACACAATGTGTCAATGCCATGACAGTAAGACAGTTCTCAGTGAAATGCCATATAAGTAAGCTGGATTTATTTGGGTTATTTCCAAATTGTTCCCTTAAAAAAATAAGCTATAAATATCTGTGATTCATTTCTGTACATCTTTATTTCTAAGCAGAATATTTAAGTTCTTTCACCATCGTTCACTATAACCAGTAAAGCTGTAGCTATTCTTGTATACACTTCCTAGGACAGCTGTGTTTCTATTTGTGTACAAGTGACCATTAGAAATGTAACACTGCATACAATTATCAAGAAAACACCTACATTCCCATTAGCATACAAATGTGTATGTAAATGTTGAGTGGCTTATTTTGTGGGAAGAGGTATGCTGTTAGAATCCACAGATTAGGGGGAGAAGGGAAGGGGAGAATAGGAAATAGGGGAGCAGGAAGGTTGAATGGGGGAAGAACAGAGGAGAGCAGAATGAGAGATATCATAATAGAGGAAGCCATTATAGAATTGAAGAGAGATCTGGCACTAGGGAGAATTCCAGACACCTGCAAGGATGACAGCAACTGGCAATCTAAGCAACAGTAGAAAGGCTTCCTTCAACAACCTTCCCCAATATTGAGATTGATGACTACCTTATATGCCTTCATCCAGTGGCTGATTAAGCAGAGGCAGACACCACAGCTAAACACTGAACTGAATTTCTGGAACCCAGGTGCAAAGAGGGTGGAGTGAAGAGCAAAGGGATCAAGACAGAGCTGGTGAAACCCACAGAAACAGCTGACCTGAACAAGGGGAAGCTCATGGACCCCAGACTAATGGCTGGGAGGCCAGCATGGGACTGACCCAGAATCCCTTTAATGTGGATGTCAGTGAGGAGGCCTCAGCAATCTATAGAACCTCTGGTTGTAGACCAGTATTTATCCCTGTTGTATGAATGGACTTTGGGAGCCCATTCCACATGGAGGGATGCTCTCTCAGCCTGGACATATGGGGAAGGGCCTAGGCCCTGCCCAGACGATATGACAGACTTTGTCGATCCCCATGGAGGGCCTCACCCTCCTTGGGTAGCAGAGGAGGATGGGGTGGGAGGTGGTGGGAGAAGGAGCTGAGATTGACAAGTGAAGCAGGCTTGTTTCTGATTTTGATAAAAATAAATTTTAAAAAGATACTAATGAAGCATTGGTGGTGCACACCTTTAATCCCAGCACTCAGGAGGCAGAGACAGGAAGATCTCTATGAGTTCAAGGCCAGCCTGGTCTACAGAAAGAGTGCCAGGATAGGCTCCAAAGCTACACAGAGAAACCCTGTCTCGGGGAAAAAAAAAAAGGAAACTAATGGTTAAAAAAAAAAAAAAAAAGAATCCACAGATTAGCTTATGCTTGTAAAATAAGAAATAAAAAGTAAAAAGTAAACATGACAGAAATCAAACCTAAGGAAACAAAGCTATAGTCACCTGTGGAG